CTAGAGCGGGTGAGCGACAACAAATGAAGCAAAATACGAAAGATATGATGCAGTGCTCACTTGCCAAAACAAGGAAAGAAACCGGACGGAGCTGTGCCAACCATCCTCCTTGACACCCCCATCATCCACAGCGAACAAGACTGCAATGCCATCGGTTCGGCTAACAACCCTACTCCCCTATTTGAAATGATACTCTGCCCACTGTCAACATATACAGAACACGAAAAGATCATAAGAGTTATCCGTGCTACTCAGTTCTATTTCTCATCCAATTCCTTCTGAACCCCTACTTGCAAGGCTACGACGGAACACGCTGTGGATGTACTTCATCCATATGATCAAAGTGCAACTACTAGGTTTCGGCATAAAATAAAATACAGGTGCGACTGAAATGGGGTAGGAGATGGAGTCGATTTACCGATCTTTCAATTGTTGCAAAACACTTTTGACTGGTTTAACCTTCTTTAACATAAACCAAATTGAGCGTGCTAAGTGATTAGCTGTTTGCGAAAATCATGTTCGCATAAAGCAACATTTGAAATCACATAAATTACATCATTACATCACACTTAAAAAACCTGCCAATTTTGACTCTCTTTAGATAGGCATATGAAAAAAAGCATATACACCACCTTAAATAATGGGAAGTTACATCATGAAGAGAAGTGAAGAAAAGAAAAGAAATCAACTCATCAGCGTTACGTGGAATGGTCTTGTAAATATGTAAATACTGTTGTTTACCCTTGGAGAGAAAGGTATTAGAACGAAGCATATGATCTCAATCGTGAGCCCGTAATTGTAATATTCCATCATTTTCAAGGATTTCTTCATAAATTCCATGAGGAAAGTCAATGAAACGCAATCGAGGAACTAATCACTTCACATGCAGCAAAATGTACCAACGATGAGGGGAAGATATGAATTCCCTGTCAACCATACCACGACAGCATTTGTACTTCAGCTTAAGAGTGACAGCCAGATGTGCTTGGCTTGACTGAAAACTACTCTAGCTCAGAAACTATTATAGTAAGCCCTTATAATGTTATAAATTTGGGTATCACAAGATGGATTTATACAGTGCGTGAGCGTCCACCAGCGAGTCGGAAAGTATCAAAATGATCTAGCGAATGCCAGCGACTACCAGCGTTTTCACGGTAGTTTCAATTTCAAAAATGCCCACGAAAACGCTGTTGGACGCTGGCGTGGCCGATACCTTCTTCCCTAATTCCTCTAGACGCTGTTGAACGCTGACGCAAAATATAAATTCAGCCTTAAATATGGACAGACTGTGAAGATGTACCTGATCTGAAGCGAACTGGAAGATCCACTTGAATCGCAACATCCCATTTTATTACCTTATTAACACCGTTCTGTTCAGAGATTACTGAATACATAAATAAACTTCGAAAGTCTATCCCACACATGACAAATCAAAAAACTGCCTTCTCTTTGAATACTTACCAAAAACTGCGTTGTCATTTGTTTTCCTGAACTTCTTGAGGTGATTACGTATGAAAAATCCTTTTCTTACATTATTTCTCTGAAACACTCCAATGACTCTTGGTCTTCTCTTCTTTACGCATGCATACTAATGTGTCTTGGCACTGAACATTATACAACGACTGGAATCTCTGCATAAGTCTGGAAGACCTGTGTTGAAAATTGCAGGTATATCATCAAAGGCAGTGTAAACAAACAACCAGTCGATGAACTTCCTCATCGTAAGGTGCGCCCTACCAAAGGGACAAAGGTGTACCACTTTGACGGGTGAAAGTGCAAAAACAATGAGTTCACAGTGTTGTGAAGCCGTTCACTCAAGCCATTTTGCCATATTCGTGTTCTGTCGCGGAGCGAGAATTAGTGTCATAGTATTCTTGTTCGCTGTGGATAACCGACGTGTCACGCGGCTGCGCTTTGGCGCGGCGCCAACTCGTTTCCCTTTTTTCATTTTGTAAGCACGAAGACCGTATAGTACAGTCACTAACATTCGTTTCCATTGCTTGTTCACTTGGGCCGCTCATGCTTTTTTAGGCAGAGAAACTGCTACTAGCTGCGGTCCAATCCACCTCGCACATGGCAGAGGCCGTCCTTGGCAGTGAGTGTACTGTTCGTCTTTATCTTTGACCCTATTCAAATGCTCCAAGATTGCTCGTAATTTCAGACTTGCGTAGACTCCACTTACTGCTCACATAAAGCCAGCACTTCTTCAACTTGAGCGCCGATGCTCAACAAAAGGGTCTCGCGTGAGGCGCCTTCGACTTTTTTTTCTCCACTGTTTTCCTCATGACTGCGGTGCTTATCGCGGCACTTATAGTTCAAAAGCTGAGACAGTTACCTTCGTACTGTGGTCATACCCTTTGAATCGTAGTGGTGACTACCATTTTCGGTAAATCGCATGGGCAGGGACTGTCACGCAGGCTGTTAACCCTTGAATCATTCGGCTGACACCTTCACCAACGCACCAGCTGATTGCGTCATACGAGATCCACCTATATTTGGAATCTAACCACAGCTGTGGCTATAGTTATTAACGAAGATAGAGCCATTCCCTTCAGAATGATGCCATCGCACCAGATCTCGTAATCTTCGCAAGACCCTTGTTAAGTAACTATTAAGAGCCACTTCATCATGTTCACCTAATCCAAAAGGGCTCCCAGATGAAGAAATGAATTAAATAGGATTTTCATCCGGAACTAGAATAGCTGCCAGCAGGGCATGCCATCGCGTTGTGATAAGTTACTGCTAAGTACGACCCCCTTCGAAACATAGTCTCGCTATGATCACTCACCCTTCCGCTCTTGAAGAAAAGAAATGTACAGGTATCGGAGAGGATACGTGAATTTTGAACGTTCGCGCACATTTAGAAATTACGTGCAAGCATTTAAACGCTTTTTCACTGTTGCACTAAAGCGGGCTATTTCGCGTGTGTTGCAAAGCAAGCCAAGAGCACCGGAAGTCTTATCTTTCGAATGGGTGATGCTTCTGAAGAGGGGAAAGCAGGGTTGTGAGGCTCTCGGTCTGCTGTTTATTAATTGTGCTTAAGCGCATTCAAACTCATCCTTTTCGAAGAACTTTCCCCGTTGTGACATTTTGGTGTCACCTACGAGTTTTCCTGCTTTGAACAGCCATAACTTTCTCCATATGTGATTCCTTGAGAAACCAAGGGATCACATCTGCATCTCCTTCTAGGAAGTACCTCACTTTCTTCTCATTCCTACTCTTCAAAAAAATTCCCCCTGCAGAATAGGTTGTCAGGAATCTATGACGACGCAAAAAATCCGCAGCTCCAGCGCGGTACTATTTCCAGTTTGTGTGAAGACTTGAATGCCTCTCTCTGTCAAAATCGCTCTCTTGGTCAAAATTATAATGAATTATCCATTTGGCGCCGATCAAAATTCCCTCTATATTGCGCCATACATCCTACTCCCACTCACCAGGAAAGGTCAACAGGTCAGCCTGGCCATTTCCAATGAGCTGCACACCGTTGTACGCGTCTTGGGACAGTGAACTCAAATCTACCTTCAGAATTTGCGGAACGATTCTCTGAACGGAGTTATGGAGGGTTTTATCCCCGCATGGTCGTTTCACATGCTATCGCGAGGAAACGTGGAAGCGTCTTTACATTTATGTATGGAGTCGTGCTGAAACGTGGTAGTAGAGCGCAACGGGTAGGGAGCGGGTTTCTTAGGCGAGACGTCGTAGGATCGGTTCCGGGGCAGGTCGCTTTTTTGCATTTGTCCAAGAACATAGCCGACAAAGCTTCTAACATCTCTGCTCGCCTGCACTACCCTATAAGGGAACCTGCGATCAGTTTTTTTTGAAAGTGTAGACCCATTGTGGCCTGAAAGAGTGCTTCTGCTTGTACCCCTCGTAACACGTGTCACAAGGGTTTTTGCAATGAAATACCATCATATTCATGTTCAGCGGGTTAAATTACCCCTGGGGACAAGTTTCTAGCCGAATCTGATATTTCGACCTCACTTGGAAAATGTGGGCTATTCCATGGGTAATTAGCAGCAGATTGGAGCTCACCTACCATCGATGACTGGTCTCGGAATGGGATTTCCTCCCGATAGTCAAGAAAATGATGCAGACGGCACAAATAAGTAAGCCAGGTACTGTTGTTTGCAAAAAGACATGACTGAAGAGTTATTTCAGTTCGAAGACCAGTCATCACCAGTATGCTAGTCATAGTATCGCTGTTAGCTATCAGTCAGCCATGACTATCCATACCCCATTTTTTCGAAGTTGAGTCAGAAGCTCAGATTTTGCTAAGGTGACGTCCCTAGGGGTTATTTGACCCCCTGAACACGAATATGATACCTGTTTTGCGCGAAGAGCGCTGTGAGTCGCGCTACATGTGCCAACGCTTCGGCGCCAGCGCCCTAAAGAAAAACCTCCATAACTCCGCTCAGAGAATCGTTCCGCAAATTTTGAAGATAGTTTTGAGTTCACCGTCTCAAGACGGGTACAATGATGTGCATCTCATTGCAAATGGCCAGGCTGACCTGTTGACCTTTCCTGAGAGCTGTTGGGGAGGGGCTACTTCTAGGGCTTCTTCGTGTAAGCAGTTGTGCTCCACGGTTCGGAGCATCCGAGCGCCTAACGTGTTTTATTTACTGATACAATCGTGTGGGCGCCTACCGTGTTTTTTGTCAAAGCCGTTTCCCAGCTCTGAGCTTGCAGCTTGTCACTGCCTTAAGGTGCCTCTTGGGTGTTCTTCACAGCGAGAACCATGTATAAATCTTCCATCAATCAGTGGTTGTACGACAACTCACTATTGCTACTCTTCTCACTTTTGAAGGAGTTCTTGCGATCCCCTCCCTCACATGTTCGTGGTCAGATACGACTCCTCTCCCAGCTAGGATTCAGGAGCAGGTGAAGAATAAATCCATCCACCCACATTTTAGACTACAAAGCTCTTAACAAGTAATCTAGCGTTTATAAAATAGTAGCAGTTTAGACAATATGTATAAATAATAAAGATGCGGTGCTGGGGTTCACAAAACAGTACAACTTGCCTGTATTGGCACCTTGCTGACTTCCAAAGCTCCAAAACTAGCTTGTACTCCCAGACTGACACACGTAGTTGGAGGCCGTATGTCGATTTCGAAGTCGGTACTTTTGCTGTCCTCCTTTTCATCTTCGCTGACAACTGGAGGGTTCTCAACCACTGGTTCACTGGTCTCAAAGACATACTCTCGGAATAGGAAATCAAACGCCTTGAAAAGTGGTTCTACACCGAAAATTTCGTTCAGAAAGATTCTTGCTGAAAACAACAATAGTTTTACAATTACAACTTTATTCCGATCTATGGACATGCTATGAATGTTCACTGATAAATCATATCAATTCAAATAACAAAGGAAACTTACACTGCCCATCCACCAAGTCTGGTTTAACCCATGGACTACAAATAAAGCACAACTCATTAGTACACTTGTACCAGTGAGAAATCAGCTTCCAAGCGTATCGGCACTTGGGATCTGTGAAAGGACAAAATTCCAAGAAGTGAAATTGATGTAAAATCACCACTGAAAACAAACTGAAGGTGATCAGTGACCATGTCGTGGTTGGATGCATGCCTCTCCTATACAAGGTAACAGGTTGAGTGGTAGCAATACCCAAATGCTGTCGTTATACGTCCGTGCACCCCGCGGCGAAACACGTAAACACGTATCCGCGGTGCGGAATAATTGGAAGCGAGAGAGCGCAGACGAGCAGAGCGCTTGGCTATGCTTAGGCGCGTGGAGCGCGGGAAGGTATCTTCACCTGAAGCACAGGTGCCGTCACGTTCGAATGCCACGCATCCCGCCCACCGCATCTCTGCCACTTCTGTGCCTCTAGCTTAGTCTCTCAATACCTCCTTCTTTCACCTCCTCTGTACGGTGACGTGGGGAGATGTTACAAAAGAAAGGGTTGTCGACTGATTCACTGGCAATACCTCCAAACTCGTACAGCGAATGGTAACATGTGAATCTGCGTAGGCCAAGATATTTTCACATTTTCCGTCGTCTTGTTCCTCAGCGCTTGTCCCGTTCTGTGAAGCGGTTCGCTCTTCTGATTTTGTGACGCCATTTCTCACCGATCGAATGACTGTTCAGGGTTGAGCACCAACTATCTTCGACTCCGCGTGCAGCGTGTCGAGCTAACGTTGCTTGAGGCGTTTTCTGGGGTATTTTCCGAGCAAGCCGAAGACTAAGCTTTTAGACACTGTCAGCTGTCGCACGGTGTACGTTTTTCTTGCATATGTCGTCGTTGCAAATCCGAACATATTTTCGCATTTACTCCTGTAAAAATATCGAGTCTGACCTTCACATCTTCCTCGAGAGTGACAGCCATGCATGTGACACATACGATCCGCATTTCTTAAGCACGGCACAGTCTCACCACAAAACAGTGAATCAGATTTGAGAAGATACTGAAATCTCAGACCGTTAGTTTGTCCAACCAAACACATCCAAGATGACATACCGTGCATGGAACGTGCGACCGAAGAGCATGAATAAGATCACCGAGGTAGTTGCGCGACTGTTCCTTCGGTCCAAATATCTTCAGAGAACGTGGCACTTGAAAAGTAGTTCCTAGAAATCGCTTATGAGGAGTTATCGAATGTCGATGTATAATTTAAAGTTGAGATCATGAGAGTCTTCTCGTATAAAAAGGTCACCATCAAGGTTTCAATCACATGTTGACCAAGGAGCATTGAGCCAAGTCCACCATATCGTTTGAAGAGAATCGCAGAAATGGGAAATCGAATAATCCGCGAAAAGGTAAGATTTTGTCAACAGCTCAAGGCAGCGTTCTGAGTTCGGAAAGACGCGTCCTCGACGCGCAGTAATGCTCTACAATTGTAACAGTAACGCTCTACAATTGGAATAGCGCTCCATTGCTATGAACGCGAACCCAGCCACAGAAGAGAATCGATCGGGGCCATCCGCTCGTTTTAAGAGGGGGAATAGGAGAGTGAGCACTACCTAGTCATGCGGTCTAGTACCGATCGGCACTGGTCGCTAGTGCTTTAGGAGAGTACGGATGAATGGGAGGGTATCAGCTGTGTGAAAGCAGCGCCTACCCTCCTGTTAACCCTTACCCCCTCAAAATCCCAGCGCCGATCGATTCCTGTCTGCAACTGTGATCGCACCAATAGCATTTGTGCACCCTAGCTGGTAGCGCGTCGACGCGCGTTACTGCGAAGATTGACGCTGCTTAAGTTGTCAACGACGAACAAGTCACTCTGTATGCAGTTCATCGCCATTTACCCATTATCCAGTTAAGCGCTTGGCAAGAACGCAGTACCAAAGGATTTAGCGTGAAAACCCCCATCGTGTGGCTCACAATCGTTTCTTCGCCAAGGCGAAAAATCAAGAAAATGAAGTAAAAGAGCAACCAGTACCCATTTCGTAGAATTGCAGGTGTTTAAAGAACTGCACCAAAGGAGTCTGGTTTACTTACAATACTTTACAGAGTGGAACGATGTATCGGACTAGCGTCAAGAAGTTCATTATCAGTGCAAATTGAGCAGCAAGCACCACTGCGATGTTGTACAGTTTTTCAACGGCCAATCATTCTCATTAGGCTCCTCTGTTAACAGTGGCAGCCGGAGGATCAAAAGTTATCCAGATAAGCAGTTTGCATCTTGTGGGTTACGTGACATCTTGTACATGACCCTCTTGCGGAACTCCGCTGCGCAAAGAGCTAGAAAACAGCGGTTGTCAAACCAGAGAAAGGTGCAAAAAGCGTGACAAGATAGAAGAAGGGCTACCTCAGGGGGGGGTTAAGGTGAGTAAGCCACTCACCCTGCGGAAAAGATGAAATGTGTGATATAACGGTGACTATAGAACGTCACACAGAGGACAAACTGCAGAGAAAAACAGAAAACTGACGCGATCAAAAAGATTGAGTTCAAATTGTAGGCAGATAGTTTTTTGACTAGCGAATTGCAGTTTGTACTTTACGTGGTAGGAAAGTGACGAAACCACCGTAAGCTTATCAAGAAGGAAATAATAGCAGTATGCATGCAGAGGCCATTCTATCAGTAAAAAATTATCCTGGAACAAAAACTTTTCGATCTCTACATCGAGATTGTGATGTGTCACGAATAACCCATAGTGACAGCTATATTGAATGATGTCAGATTATCTCATCATTCATCATCATTTATTACATGAGCGAACTCATGTGGCTACACATCAGCCTACAAACAATGGAAACAGAACATCCGAGAAAGTCCCGCACGGGGAAAAACAATAATACCACAAAAAAGTTTCTAAAATGTGTAAATGTTATCAAAATAAAACAGGGAAGAGCCGTTTAAAGAGAAGGTATAAGTCTATTTGTGAAGCATCCAAGTTTGGGTCCGTGTCTTTTCTTCCATTTCTTCGATTTATTTGGCTCTTTGACACAGTTCGGATCGCCGGCTGACGCTCCGTTCCGTGCTCTCCTCCTTTTCTTGAGCTCGGCTTCGCCGAGCTGGCCTGGCTTGGCCAGGCGGCTCCATAATTTTAGCGGAATTTTTCGTTAGTGCGCTGCTCATAAGGCACTGTAGTGATCGAATCGTAACAGACAGAGCAAGGCTTAGGATCCCGCAAAACTTAGCACGCGCTTCTATTTACAGCAGCGGTGTAGTCCGCGCCATAATGGCCCATAGAATACATAACTCTGTAGATATACAATGTGTAGTCGGCCATACAGGGCAGTATGAATCGCTCAGTAAAAGAGTAGAATTCTTTTCCATTACCTGTACCGAAATGCCTTGCGATGTATGTTTCCCTTTTCAATTAGCGTGCAATCCGCTCGTGTTTTTCGGTTCTTTTCGAATTTCCCTCAGATTCCGGTTTCAGGCGAACTACATACCCCCCCCCGCCGCCCCCCCGCTCGTCGACATCGGCATTATATAGTTTTCTAGGGCAGTCAGGGAAGTGATGGCTAAAGGAAAAGTATGCACACTGAGCCTTTGATACTTGGGGTATAGTGATAAGAGAGGTAATGATAATGGCCCTTATCCTTTCTTATCAATTGATAAGATCCTGTCACCCGTCATCAATGTCCCTATCACTAAAACTCTGTAATTTGGTAGTGTAAAGGCTCCAGCAATTTGACTGAACCTTATCCTTATCCTTATCAGCCCCTATCAGCTGTTATCACCTCACGTGCCGTGTCCCCATCTCCAACCCTATATCATTTCTCTGAAATTAATGCCTAGCTGATGCTGTGTTCCGCGTTATGAGTATGGTGACCTTACCATTCTAACTCCCCTTATCAAATCCTATCAGCTGCTATCATTCCCTGTCACCCATCAATAATGTTCCTGTCCCACGTCCTATATCATACCTTGGCGAACCCCCAATGTCCACTGCTACTGTGGTCCCGCGTTTATGTAAAGTATGGGACCTTAACCATTCTAACTCCCCTTATCAATCGCTATCAGTCTGCTATCATAAGTGTCCATTGTTCCTTTCTTGACCTTTCAGTCTTAAATCCCACTTTTCAGATTGCTTCATTCCCTGTCACCCATCAATAATGTTCCTGTCCCACGTCCTATATCATACCTTGGAACCAATGTCCCACTGTTACTGTGTCCCGCACTATGGGCTCGGTCACCCTCCCCTTCTGACGCCTCTTGACGGATCTTATCAGCTGCTATCATTCCCTGTCACCCATCAATAATGTTCCTGTCCCACGTCCTATATCATACCTTGGAACCAATGTCCCACTGTTACTGTGTCCCGCACTATGGGCTCGGTCACCCTCCCTTTCTAAGGCCCCTTATCGAATCTTATCAGGTGCTATCACATTCTATCACCCACCAAAAGTGTTCCCGTCCTGCCACGTATATCACTTCTTGGAACTGTCGTCCTATCTTTTCTGCGACGCTCGCTATGAATTTCGTGACAGACAGACGGACGCACACACACACACACACACACACACACTGACAGACATACTTAGCGGATTATATATAGTAGTAGGATAGTGGGATGAGTTCATTTTCTAGGGCAATCAGGGAAGTGATGGCTAAAGGAAAAGTATGCACACTGAGCCTTTGATACTTGGGGTATAGTGATAAGAGAGGTAATGATAATGGCCCCTTATCCTTTCTTATCAATTGATAAGATCCTGTCACCCGTCATCAATGTCCCTATCACTAAAACTCTGTAATTTGGCAGTGTAAAGGCTCCAGCAATTTGACTGAAGGCTTATCCTTATCCTTATCAGCCCCTATCAGCTGTTATCACCTCACGTGCCGTGTCCCCATCTCCAACTCTATATCATTTTCTGAAATTAATGCCTAGCTGATGCTGTGTTCCGCGTTATGAGTATGGTGACCTTACCATTCTAACTCCCCTTATCAAATCCTATCAGCTGCTATCATTCCCTGTCACCCATCAATAATGTTCCTGTCCCACGTCCTATATCATACCTTGGAACCAATGTCCCACTGCTACTGTGTCCCGCGTTATGAGTATGGTGACCTTACCATTCTAACTCCCCTTATCAAATCCTATCAGCTGCTATCATTCCCTGTCACCCATCAATAATGTTCCTGTCCCACGTCCTATATCATACCTTGGAACCACAGTGTCCGCACTGCTAACTGTCCCGCGCTATGGCTCGTCACCCTCCTTTCTGACGGTCCTCCTCTTGACGGATCTTATTCAGCTGGCTATGCATTCCTGTCACCCATCAATAATGTTCCTGTCCCACGTCCTATATCATACCTTGGGAACCAATGTCCCACTGTTACTGTGTCCCGCACTATGGGCTCGGTCACCCTCCCTTTCTAAGGCCCCTTATCGAATCTTATCAGGTGCTATCACATTCTATCACCCACCAAAAGTGTTCCCGTAGTGCCACGTATATCACTTCTTGGAACTGTCGTCCTATCTTTTCTGCGACGCTCGCTATGAATTTCGTGACAGACAGACGGACGCACACACACACACACACACACACACTGACAGACATACTTAGTGAATTATATATAGTAGGATAGTAGGATAGTGGGATGAGTTCATTTTCTAGGGCAGTCAGGGAAGTGATGGCTAAAGGAAAAGTATGCACACTGAGCCTTTGATACTTGGGGTATAGTGATAAGAGAGGTAATGATAATGGCCCTTATCCTTTCTTATCAATTGATAAGATCCTGTCACCCGTCATCAATGTCCCTATCACTAAAACTCTGTAATTTGGCAGTGTAAAGGCTCCAGCAATTTGACTGAAGCTTATCCTTATCCTTATCAGCCCCTATCAGCTGTTATCACCCATGCACGTGCCGTGTCCCCATCTCCAACCCTATATCATTTTCTAAAATTAATGCCTAGCTGATGCTGTGTTCCGCGTTATGAGTATGGTGACCTTACCATTCTAACTCCCCTTATCAAATCCTATCAGCTGCTATCATTCCCTGTCACCCATCAATAATGTTCCTGTCCCACGTCCTATATCATACCTTGGAACCAATGTCCCACTGCTACTGTGTCCCGCGTTATGAGTATGGTGACCTTACCATTCTAACTCCCCTTATCAAATCCTATCAGCTGCTATCATTCCCTGTCACCCATCAATAATGTTCCTGTCCCACGTCCTATATCATACCTTGGAACCAATGTCCCACTGTTACTGTGTCCCGCACTATGGGCTCGGTCACCCTCCCTTTCTGACGCCTCTTGACGGATCTTATCAGGTGCTGTCACATTCTATCACCCACCAAAAG